CAGGGGAGTTTTAGGTTAGATGTTAGGAAGAACTTCTTTACCGAAAGGGTTGTTAGACACTGGAACAGGCTGCCCAGGGAAGTGGTGGAGTCACCATCCCTGGAAGTCTTTAAAAGACGTTTAGATGTAGAGCTTAGGGATATGGTTTAGTAGGGACTGTTAGCGTTAGGTCAGAGGTTGGACTCAATGATCTTGAGGTCTCTTCCAACCTAGAAATTCTGTGATTCTGTGATTCTGTGAAAATCAAAAATATAAACTAAATATAAACCCTTTCTAAGATTTATGAAGGCTGGAATAAGTAAGATACTGAAGGAAAGGACCACCCCAGAAAAACTGCAGACAAAAAAAAAAAAAAAAAAAGTTCATTTATGTCAACCAAGGAGAACCACAAGGCAAAATGCTCTAAAACATACAAGTGATCTTGGCCAGACCACTTGGACATGTATATCTTGGACATGTACAGCTAATAAGTGTATAGGTGTAAAAATATGGATGGACAAAATCTAAGTGAGAAGTACTGGGACTGGGAAAAATCATCTGACTTGAAGATTTTGTAAATAAATATTAGTATGCCCTGCTCTAAGATCTCAAACTGCATTTCTACATTAATTTCCTATATTAATTAAATTGATATGAAAAGCTTTGATTCAAAGCCAGGATAAGGTGATATTGACCAGGACAAGATAATTTAATTGTCTTGCCTGTCATGCATGAATTCAAGAAGAATTTGGACAACACTCTCAAAGATATTATTTGTTTTTTGGGTGGTCCTTTGTGAGGCCAGGAGCTGGACTTGATCATCCTTGTGGGTCCTTCCAGCTCTGGATGAACTAGCTATTTGGAAGATAAGGAGAATAGACAATTAGAAAGGATAGTAGCAACTCGGACATACACTTTACAATGAGATTGTCAGGACTAGGAGGAACAAGCACTTAGTTTCTCTTCTCCCACTAGAAAGACATCCAGGACAGCACCTGGATGATTACTTGTTCCATTTAGGTTAATCTGCGAATAACTATATTAATGTGCCATGTCAATCTGCTACATCTTGTAAAGTTTTGTTCTGTGTGATACGTGTTCATTAGTAATAATTTTAGTGTTATTGCTTCTATTTTTGATGGTCATCTTAATCCTATAAAATAACCCTTGTGACACTCTTTACATAGATTATGCTTTTAAATGTCAGGTTACTGACTTTTGCCTTCTGTCTAGAACTCCTTTCTCAAGTTCTTAATTACTTTGACCAGTCACTGTGCACACATTGAAATGTCTTTACGTTTGCACACATTGTTGATGCCTTTCAGTCAGTACATGCACCAATTATGCATCTCGGACACTATACTGAATATCTTCATAGAATGGCTCATGTCCAGGATTGCCCCAGCCCAGGTGCAGCACTTCGTTAGGTTCACATGGGCCTGATTCTCAAGCTTTTCCAGGTCCCTTTAGCTGGCATCCTTTCCTTCTATTATACTGACTGTACCACTCAGCTTGGTGTCATCTGCAAACTTGCTGAGGGTAGACTCGATCCCACTGTCTATGTCTTTTATTAAGGTATTAAACAGTACCAGTCCCAATGATTCAACTGTTCTCATTGTGAATTATGCTTCATGTAACTGATGTGAGACCACAAATATCCTGTTGTGATTCATCTAGGATCAACTGTTTCAGTTACCCCAGCCCTCTATAACCTGATTGTAAGCAGTTAATCACATGTTCTTCTCAGCCCTAGGAAGCCCTGTAAGAAAATATCTTATATTAACTTTCTAATACAATTGGATCAGAGTTGCTGAGTTTCAGGGAAACAGTTTCTGTTTTCCCTGCATGTAAAACTAACACACCATTTTGAAAGTAAGCTTTAACTTCACAACAGCATTTGGCTTAAATGAGAAAGGAAAAAAAATAGTGCACTTGCAAGTATAATCTTTACACGTTCATAGTGTACCTTCATCAGCTGAAGGTTAAACATGATATCGGTAATATCTAGCATACAGGAATAATAGAAGGACAACAACATCAAAAAAACAGGCTGTTTCTGACTCACAAGATGGCAAATGGACTCCCAGCTAAGCTAAAATTTGCACTGAAGCTCATTCTATTTCTATCTTTCTTTATTAAATACTTCACTATCTTCAGCTTTTCCTCTTCATCTTTTGGGATTTCCCTGTGTAAGACCATTCCTGCTCTTCTTAAACATGGGTACATGAACGTATAACTGTCAGAAGGTTCAGAACTGAAACTGACAAAACGAGGTTTTGCAGAAGTTGTATATTCAGAAAATTAATTATTCCTCTGTGAACTCAGAAGAGCTACATAGGAATATACGTAAGTTGCCAAGTTACTACCAGACGGACCAAAGCCCAGGACTGTAACAAAATTATTATAGTATATGTGGACTTAGAACACTTCAGAAGAGCACTTGACACAGTGACATGGCACAGATATCAGTGCTTATACAGTCAAATATAGTCAAGCTCAGTGTGCATATTTTTGTGTATATAAATATGTATATATATACATAAAAGGAAGGAAGGGGGGAAATATTATCACTTGTGTTTTAAAGGGGAAATATTTTTAATGTATCTGTAAATATTCAGGTTCTTAAGTTTTTTTGTACTTTTGCTTAGATAGGTGAACACTGCATTTAGCAGCATTTTTGAATTTCTGCATAATTTATTTACTTATTGTCACGTTAAAGGGGTGTAGCTGATTAACCGTTACGGGCCCAGTTGGATTCAGAGTACTGAACCAGTCGGACATTCACCAAAACTGGGGGTCCGTTCGGACATTCACCAAAAACATAATAACCGCCTGGGGGTCCGCTCAGACATTCACCAAAAACGTATTAATCACCTGGGGGTCCGTTCAGACATTCACCAACAATGCATTAACCGTCTGGGGGTCTGGTTAGATTCAGAACACTGAACTATCACGGATAACCACCCGCACCCTAGTTGCATTAATGAGAGCTATCACAATGCAATCAAGTATGGTTTATTACAGCAACAGATAATCAGGTTCTTTTGGATTGCCGGTGATAGTGACTATCTGCAAAAGCAAGCTAGTATGCATGAAATACACAGGTGACACAGGTGTTACAGATGTTATACAGGTGTTATAGGTGTTATAGATGTTACAGGTGTTACAGATGTTATAGGTGTTATAGGTGTTACAGGTGTGCAGCCTAGAAATAAACGCGTTAAAAGGATCAAAGACTCTATAGAGATTTATAAGCAAATATTCAGATCTAACCCAAAGGCGTCCCAATGGGGGGGGAAGAGAGGCTCAGCCTGTCGACTGATCCCAGGAGTCAGGAGGTCCTAAGGATGTTGTATGTCCTCGGGATGGTATCTCCCCTGACGATGGTATCTCCCCTAACATCCCCTCTCTCTTGGGCCAATTTATATTATTTTCTATCTTTTAGGTGGAGCTTGAGTGGCTCTAGTCAAGCATATCTTAGTTATGATTGGTGTAAAGTTTTCCCGTCTCCGTTTAAAGTAATAGGCTCCGAGAAATTCAGGGCGCATGCTCAGTGAGGGGTGGTCGCACCTTGGAGGCGGGTAGCTTTTGGGATGGAGGTGTGTTTTGGTATTATAATGATATTATAATGAGCAAAAAGTACACTAGGGTACAGCATTTGTCAAAACATGACAGGTCTTTGGCTTAGGGTGGCAAAAAGTGCAGCTTTGTGCACAAGAACAATCGAGGCCCCACCTGATTACAGAGCCTAGCCGTGGTGTCTCCACTCCACTCTACGCTCCGTGGTGTTCCTTAGAACTAGCACACCAAGTTTCCCCAGCGCGATAGCATCTAAGGTTGGGAGCCTAGGGAATGCTCAGATAATGCAGTTATGCCCTACCCTGAAAGCCTCTTCAATGCTGTACCTTTTCCTTAAAAGTGTGAATGTTAGTTTTATTTTCCTAGTTACTTCAGGCATTTACACCACACTTATATTTGCAACCTGTCTCCTTTTCAAATTTTAATTTAAATACTACAGGCTGATATAGCTAGAACATATTTATATTCCGTGGGAAAAAAAAAATGTAAAAAGACTGTCAGAATTATATAAGAATCTCAGAAGTTTTGATCTTTTATCTGTATTAAACAAGAAAAGCCTTGCAAGATTTAAACTGGAAATTTCATTTCCAAATGAGCCTCCAAATTCAGAAAGTTCATGTTTAAGTCTGCTAGCTTGGAACTGTAATCAGAAAAAATTAGATGCCGGTGATGTTTCTTATTTTTCCAGTTCCTGAGCATAAGCATTGCAGTGTGCTAGCTCAGAATGATTCCTTTTGTACATGGTTAATTAAAAATAAATAAATTATTAAATATTGTCATATAAAAGTGGTTATTTCTTCAAGGAGTTACATGTGTCAAAGTTTCACAAGAACCAAAGACAGCATAGCTCATCAGAAAGCATTATGCCTAAACTAGTGAACCTCATTTAGTATGCCAAACAGCAGATTAGCAGAAACCTAAAGGATTTTTCAGCCAGCACACTACATCCTTTCGTGAGCAGCAGTGCTGCCTGAAAGCACACTGGATCTTCTGAACTGCATGTGTTTACCTTTTTATTTTTCGGTTATTTTCAGTGGTTGCCACAGAAAATTTTGTGTTCCTTCAGGGGAAAAATAATTTATTACTTCTATCTTCTATCCTTTGCATTTCCTTATGCTACTCTGGTATTATAGGAGAATGTCCTGGTTTTGGCTAGGATAGAGTTAATTTTCCTCCTAGAAGCTAGTATGGTGCTGTGTTTGGGATTCAGTGATATCACACTGATGTTTTAATAGTTGCAGAGCAGTGCTTACACTAAGCCAAGGACTTTTCAGCTTCTCACACTGCCCTGCCAACGGGCAGGCTGGGTATGCAGCAGGAGCTGAGTGGGGATAGGTGGGGATAGACCCAGGACAGCTGAACCCAACTGGCCACAGGGGTATTCAATACCATCTGATATCATGCTGAACAGTTAATATGGGGTGGCTAGCTGGGGTGGGGGGACCAACTGCTCAGTGACAGCCTGGGCATCAGTCAGCAGGTGGTAAGCAATTGCATTGTGCATCACTTGTTTTGTACACATTAGTAGTAGTAGTAGTATCATTATTATTATTAGTAGTAGTAGTAGTATTTCTCTTTCTTTTCTGTCCTAATAAACTGTCTTTATCTCAACCTGCAATCTTTCACTTTTTTTTTTTCCCCAGTTGTCTCCCCAACCCACTGAGGGGAGTGAGGAGTGGTGGTGGGGGAGTGAACGGCTGTGTGGTGCTTAGCTGCCAGCTGGGTTAAACCACAACAGGGATACAGATGAACAGGAATGACAGTAGCTAGGTCTTTCTTAACCCAGCTGTATTTTGAGGTCAGAAGGCCAATAGGAACTGTGGCAAATGACCCTATTAGCCGAACTATAGTGATCTTCTGATGGTCAAAATATGAATCGGTTTATACAGAATGCTAGTATAGAAGTTGTATACAGCTCTTTATTCAGCTAGCTGAATCATATCTATACAGCTCTGAATATAACAGTTAAATAAAAATGTAGTCACTTCATGTTGAAGTGCACTCTCATGTATAATATGGCAATTATTAAAGAGCTCTGAGATGAAAGTCTGGAATTCAAAACCCATTTATCTACCTGAAATTAAGAGATATTAATACTGACCAAGTTTTGTTAAAATGCCTATGCATAAATTAAAACTTAGCTTTTGCATTAATGATTTAATCATAGTTATGTGGGGTTTTTTGTTTGTTTGCGTTATGTTTTGTTTTGTTTTGTTTTAATAATGCTGCTGTATTTTAGGTGTTTGAGATTTCACTTTAAGTTGAAATGTTATATATCAATCTGAACAATGTTCTGTTCAAGCAAAGACTGAACAGTTTAAGAGTTCCATATCCTGCAGTAATCTCTCAGAAAAAGGCACTCAAACTCCTTTTAAAAGACACAGAAGTCAATAGACTCTTTAAAAAGTCAGTGAATTTTGGATCATGGCAAACAAATAAAATTTTTATCAGCTTAGTCACAACAGCTCTTTTAATTGATTAAGAATTCTCCTTGATATTCTGTCATGTGAACTGTGACCAAGTTTATATTTTCCATTGTGTCTTTCATGTGTGAAGTAACTGAGACTGTCAGGCCACAGTTTTTAAAGAGTCTAAAGGACACTTCTTTGTTCTGAGTGGTATTATGTATCTGTATCCTGCATCAAGCTTACTGTATTGCACAAAGTCTCAGGCATAGAAAATGTTTAGCTTTTTAGTTTTATATAGAATTTTCTGAGTTAGTCTAGCAAACTGCTTTCATAAAAGTCTGGTATTTTACTAATTTTCAAATTATGCTGCAGAGAAACTATATTATACTCTTTCTATCCTCATGCTCCTTGTCTTCATAAAAGTTGTTTTTTGTCAGAGGAATTAATTTATGTTACAGAAAATCTATAAAAAACTATACAAATATGTCTAATTTGCAAAGTCTTGAAAAACAGTATTTCCTGTGCTTGATAAAGGTTTTCCTAATCTCATTCATACATTTGAAAGGATTCATCTGCACTTTGCAGGTTTCACCTATGGCTTTTTTTTTGTTCTGATCTTAAAGATTTGGAATCCAGCATCAGACAAAGCAACTAAAAGTAATGTTACTACCATGTTTTCACAACAGGCATCATTCTGTGGAGGGACTCCACGTGGAGCAGGGGCAGAGAGTGACCGTGAAGGAGAGGTGGAGATGAAGCGTTAGGGACTGACCACAGCCCCCATTCTCCATTCCCCTGCACTGCTTGGGGGTAGGAGGTAGAAGAGGGTGGATGGAGGGGAAGGTGTTTTAAATTTATTTCCTTTCTTTCTCACTTCTTTAACTTGTTAGTAATAGGTAATAAATCTTACTATCTCCCTACGCTGAGTCTGTTTTGCCCATCACAATAACTGCTGAGCAATCTCCCCGTCCTTATCTCAACCCTTGAGCCCTTTACACTGTATTTCCCCACCCCCTGTCCTCTTTCAGGAGGGGGAATGAGAGAGCAGCCATGGTGGAATTCAGCTGCCCACCCACGTAAAACCACCACACTGAGACAGGTTTTTACAGTTTTCTTGAGGAAATATCATAAAGACAGATAAGCAATTAGGAGACACTGAATGAAAATAGATGAAAGCTAGGGTAATTTGAAAGAGAATAGAGTTAGACATAATGAAGAACAAAGAGCAAAGATGGCAGGAGAACTGGCAATAACAGAAGACAGGATTTAGCAGAAGACTTGTGAAAAACTAAAGAAATGCTGATAGATTGAAGAGGAATATAGAGATTAGTTTAAAACTAGAAGGCAGTGAGAAAAAATACATATCTGGAATTGATATCACATGGAACACCAGGAGAGAGAAAATGGATTTCTCTAGGAATAAGACTAGGAAAATGGGAATTACATCAGAAGTGGAGACTGGGTTAGGAATGATGAGTCAGTTTGGGGAAATTAGGACAGGTAGGACAAAGAACCAAGGACCAGGATAAAAAGTGCAAGGAACAGAAAGCAAGACTGATCATATGACAATAGTGATGTTGGAAGTTATAATGGTATTTGATGACATTCTTAGCAGATACTGAAGTCACAGCCACACAAAGTGGAAGGAAAAAATGGAATCATCTATGGAGCAAAAACTACATGGAAATTTCCAACAAGTGTATCATGTGATGATATGACACGATGAGTCCAGAACTGAATTAAATTAATTGATAGAGTTTCTCTCTGACATTATATAGGTTTGAATTAGATATTTAATAGGTTTGAAGACTGAAGTGACTACATTGACTAGATGATTGATATCATTTGCTTGAACATTGTTGCCTAGTGGCATCTGCAGCACGATATTGCATCCACAGTGGGCTGGTAGAAACAGAACCTCTGTGAGACCTGCTCTCACTCTGAAACAGCAGTTGAAGACCAGCAAAGATATGCTAGAGGCTGTTAAATGGAACCTGTCATCAATGTTTTATTTTGTACTCTATTGGACACCCAGTTTTACTAAGGCAAGAAATTAATGTGCAAAGTTAATTAAAATTAATTTATATTTTGGAAAAAAAAGAAAAAGAAAAAAAAAAGAACTGTATACTGCTCTATCATTTTATAATAAAAACTAATTCTGTTGAGTAATTAGTTGTACTAGTTGTGGGCACTAAAGGAAAATGTGTTAAGCAAAGGGTTAATTTTATACAGTTAACAGGTTTTAATGGTCATCAGTAACTTATACCTGAGTAACTTACACATGGAGTGATTAGGAAGAACCAGGAATGTGAACATCTGCTCATTAGTGAGCACTGTTCTTTCTGGGCCATGAATAAGGTGTGTAAATGTGATTATGCAATTAAGATAGGGATGCAATAAAGAGACCTAAATGCAGACTGCACAGACAACTTGCTTTCTGGCATTTATTATTTCTGAGTTTCTTGTGTTTTATAATTTTGTGAAAAGTAATGGGTTCTGATTTTTTCCTTAATTATTTTACATAATTGTATGTATATTAAGCTTCCTTCAGTGACTACAATAAGAAAAGTAACAAGAATTCATCTTCAACCAAAATGGAATAGAGAACGGCACTATGTGAAATTCATCTAATAAAGGTGGCTACTTGTATAACAAAGAAATATACTGTACTCCTCTATCACAATATATTGAGCTTGGGTTAGCCATTCCTTACCAAATCAGCAGAAGAATCTTGCTTATTTAGTTTTATTTTCAATTGATAAAATATACTTATGGGCTTTAAGCACTATTACAAATAAATACATAATTGAGGAAAAAAAAAAAAAAAAAAGCAAAGAAGATTCAAAAGGTAGCTCTCTGCCAAAAATAAGAAAGGAACAAGGAACAGTGAAGACGTACTTCATCTAAAAAGATGCTTCAAGACCATCGAGCAGAGAGATGCACATTGACTGCTAAAATACTCAAACTTAAGAAAGAGAAGTGCTGTAGCTATATCCTATCTAATGTGGCATAACAATGCTGGTTTAACCAAGCAAACAATCAAAGGCTCTCATTTGAAAATGTGCAGATACTTCAAAAGTTAGATTATTAAAGATATCATACATTTATTTTTTTTCAGTTGACTTTGATCAGGATCTGGCTAACAATTTTTGCAGTTGTATGAAGGCTAAGGTGAGCAAGTAAAGAATGTGCTTAAAGTTTTCAAGTGGTAATAATGGTAAGTGAACATGGGTTTACAGAATTGTTTTTGAGGCTCAGGAGTTCACAAAGATGAAAAAGTCAAGAAAATATGAAACAGAGTTAATTTACATAAAGAATTTCTCATCCTTTTTATTCCAGGCTTGACTTTGGTTGAACTTACATCTGGCTGTAAAAGAACACAGGAAACAAAATGTGTCATCAGTTTCCCACTGCTTGTTGGCATCGTGATTAAATGTTGGCATCATGGCATCATCATTTGCAGAAGCTAGATTTTAAATGAGCATAGCAGGTCAAACATTCTTCTCAGGGAAAGACAAGGTTCATTTGGGTACAAGAAAATTATATTTGTTCTAATACAAGAAAAAAAGTCATACATCTTCAGTCAAAATTACAGTGCGTTTAGAGGAGGTCATCTGGGGAGCGGTGACTGAACAGAGCATGATGGATAATTCCTCACACACAAGCATGAGCATGAAAGAGTAGTGAAAAATTGAGACTACCTACTTTGAGTTTCTGATGATACTGCCAACACAATGGAAAATCTGAGCCTTTGTCTTATTTTAACACTCTTATAAAATTGAGTTCACCTGGGGAGAACTCTAAAAAGACAGAAGAAACTACTGTTGGAGAGTACTCATGAAGAAAAATCCCAGTAATTTTCCCATTTAATAAGTTCAAAGTATTTATTTTCTCACCATATTTGCTGTTAAACTCATCTCTCTAAACATTCATAAATATATAAATATCTTTCTAAGTGCTTTTAAAAATTCATACTATGAGCTATGATACTTTATTCTTTATTAAAAGAATCAAAATCTTATAATTCAGGCAGGTGCCAGGATCAAAACAACAATGATAAGATCACCTGTTGGAAATAAGATGAGAAGCAAGCAGGAGACAATGTCAGTTCAGGAATCTGTCCTTGTCTTTTTCAACAATTAATGTATTTTTTTGAGACAACTTTTTTTTTTTTTTTTTTTTTTTTGGGGGGGGGGTGGGAGGGAGCTGTTTGTTTGCTTGCTTGTTTGTTTTCAGACAAGCTAAGTTCTTTCCATTTAAGCTATTTATTTATTTTAAGCCAGTCCCTTACTCTGTGGTAGGCTTACAGGAAACATAGGAAAAAAGTTGAACATTGGAATGCACATGACAAAAATCTCAAACTTTAAAAAGTTACAAAAGCTTTAGTAACCAGAAAATGCAATTTCCATTATATATTACTCTTCCTATCAAAATATTGCACTTAGTTTTTTTGTCACATTACATGTGACAAAGCAAAAGATCTTAGCATGCTATAACACTTCAAATAGTTTTTGTTTTTAGCTCTGCAATACTCATCATGTGGACTATCAGAGATAGTCTTCCCCCAGAAGAATCACAGAATTGTCTAGGTTGGGAGAGACCTCAAGATCATCGAGTCCAACCTCTGACCTAACACTAACAAGTCCTCCACAAGTTCAACATCTAAACATCTTTTAAAGACCTCCAGGGATGGTAACTCCACCACCTCACTGGACAGCCCATTCCAATGCCTAACAACCCTTTCGGTAAAGAAGTTCTTCCTAATATCCAACCTAAAACTCCCCTGGTGCAACTTTAGCCCACTCCCCTCGTCCTGTGGACGTGGGAGAATAGACCAACCCCCACCTCGCTACAGCCTCTTTTAATGTACCTATAGAGAGTGATAACATCACCCCTGAGCCTCATTTTCTCCAGGCTGAACAATCCCAGCTCCCTCGGCCACTCCTTGTAAGACTTGTTCTCCAGACCCCTCACCAGCTTCATTGCCCTTCTCTGAACTCACTCGAGCACCTTGATGTCCTTCTTGTAGCAAGGAGCCCAAAACTGAACACAGTACTCGAGGTGCGGCCTCAGCAGAGCTGAGCACAGGGGGACAATCACTTCCCTAGCCCTGCTGGCCACACTACAAGCCAGGATGCTGTTGGCCTTCTTGGCCACCTGAGCACACTGCTGGCTCATATTCAGCCAACTATACACCAATACTCCCAGGTCCTTCTCTGTCAGGCAGCTTTCCAACCACTCATCTCCCAGCCTGTAGCTCTGCTTGGGGTTGTTGCACCCCAGGTGCAGGACCTGGCACTTGGCCTTGTTGAACTTAATACAGTTAAATGAAGAACATTATTAATGTCTCCCAATCCTGCCCATCTATTTTCTTCGTGAGATTTTTATTTATTTTTTTTCAGGGTAAGTTTCCTTCCTCTTATGGATCCAATCTTTTGAGATGGCATAGAAGAGGAATCAAGGATCAGGTTGTAGGCAAGAAGGGGTAGAAAAAATGACAGTGAGGCTGGCCGCAGATAGAGATCAAGCTGGATTAAATAGAAACATAGAATGATAGAAACACAGAAACATAGAAACATAGAATGGTTTTGGTTTGAAGGGATCTTAAAGACTATATAATTCCAAGCGTTCTGCCATGGGCAGGGACCTGTTCTACTAAATGAGGTTAGTCAAATCCCCATCCAACCGGGACTTGAACACTTCCAGGGATGGGGAATCCACAGCTTCTCTGGGCAACCTATTTCATTACCTCTCCATCCTCAGAGTAAAGAATTTCTTCCTCCTATCTAATCTAAATCTATCATCTTTTAGTTTGAAACCATTACTTCTTGTCTTATAACTACACTCCCTGACAAAGAGTCCCCTCCCCAACTTTCTTGTCATCCCCCTTTAGGTACTAGCAGACTGCTATATGGTCTGCCCCAAATCCTTCTCTTCTCCATACTGAACAACCCCAATGCTCTCAGACTGTCTTCATAGGAGAGGTGCTCCAGCCCTCTGATCACCTTTGTGGCCCTCCTCTGGACTTGTTATAATAGGTTCATATCCTTCTTGTGCTGGGGGCTCCAGAGCTACTCCAGGTGGGATCTCAGAAGAGCAGAACAGAGAGGGAGGATCACTTCTCTTCAGTTGCTGGACACTTTTGATAGCCTAGAATATAGTTGGTTTTCTGGGCTGCAAGCACACATTGACAGCTCATGTTGAGCTTCTCATTAACCAACACCCTCAGGTCCTTCTCCTCAGGGCTGCTCTCAATCCATTCTCCAAACAGCCTGTGTTTTTGCTTGGCATTGCCCCAGCTCAGGTGCAGAACCTTGCACTTGGCATTGTTGAACCTCATGAGTTCCTGTCAAAGTCCCTCTGAATGGGATCCCTTCACTCTCGTGTGTCAACTGCACTACACAGCTTCATGTCATCAGCAAAATTGCTAAGGGTGCCCTTGATCCCACTGTCTATGTCACTAATAAAGATGTTAAACAGTGTCGGTCCCAGTACTGGCCCCTGAGTTGTTACTGATTTCCACTTGGACACTGAGCCATTCACCACAACACTCTGAGTGTGATGATCCTGGTAATTCCTTACCCACTGAGTAGTCCATCCATCAAATCCACATCTCTCCTATTTAGGATGATATCATGGGGGACAGTGTAAAATGTTTTGCACAAGTTCAGGTAGATGATGCCAATTGCTCTTCCTCTATCTACCAATGCCAAGTAACCACAAAACCTGCAAATTGGTTTAAGGATTAACCTGGGGCTGCCCAGAAACACCATGATAAAGTAAATACATCTACTTGCAGTATAAATATTAAATCAGTTTTATGTTAGAAATTGCACAGCAGGAGATGAGCTCTCTCCTGGGAAAGTATTCTGGTATTGAACTTTGAATGAGGTTCCCAGATGCAGCTGCAATGAGACCTTCCCATTCCTCCAACTCAGTAGCTGAATCTTGTGAACAGCTAGACTCAAGAGTCAAGCCATCTCTTAATATTTCTTAACATTTTGAAAACTAAGAGAATTTCAGTCTTCAGACTTTTTTATTTCTACTATGTTTATAAGGTTATATACTCCTGTATTACTCTTGTATTACTTTCAGGTAGCTACATCATTATGGATATTTCTTAGTATTCATTGACTAGTATTTTCAGTAAAATTATTTTAAAGTCAATTCTCTGGAACACTTTGATTGCTCTGGATTGAGACCTTGGCTTCCTTTTGTACTCAGCTCATACTTTGGGGTCTACATGGGTTTCTTATTTTAATGCACCTCTATGCATTATATAAAGACTTAAGCCTTTAATGCTATAAATGTAATCAAAGGGTGCATTCCCATAAGAACATCATTAGGAATTAAATCATCTGTTATTTTTCTTCTTATGGTGATCAACGCATTAACTCTAAATTTCAGTCCCCATTTTTACAAGAACTGTTGTGAAGACAAAATCAGTTCTCTAAAAACCACTGAGAAGGAAGAGTCAAAAATTAACCTTTCTGCCCAATTCCTTCTTTGCATGAATACACTGGAGATGGGTCTGTACACTTCCAAAAAAAGAATTCCTTGCTTGCACAATTTCAGATGACTTAAATGGTAAAATTTATCTATTGCTTTCTTCTCTCCAGTAACTTTAATTTGCAAAAGAGTGGACCTTGTCTGTAGTTTGGTTACAACCCATTGCATTTGTGACACAGACTATGTACAGGATTTGCATAGGCTAATTGCATTCCCAGATCTCCATCCTCCCAGGTATTCTCTCTCTGAAATTTGTCAAAATAAGTTTTTGCTTTAGTTTCGGATTTCTGTAATTTAGTAGCTACAAATGCACCTGATTCAGAAATTTACATAGTATTTACATAATGCTTTACCTCCCTTATCTGAGAGCACTAGTATTCCACAGGCTCTGGCACCTGTATACTTCAACCTATTGTTACCTTAAAGGGAGTTTCTGGAAGTAGCTGTGGAGTTTTGAAAAACTGTGAGAACTAAGGGGCTATTACTATAATCCCAATTATTCCTTTGTCATCTGGTAACCTCCTCAGTATTTTTTTATTCATCTATTTCATTTTTTCTACTATGCCTGGTGGCTGAGTTCGTACAAAATGTATCTTATTTGTTGTCGTTGTCTCTGAACTCTTAACATCTTTGAATATTCTCAGAACAGCTGTCAGATTCAATATTAGCTGGGACTACCTAGAGAGAAAAAAGGTTATTCCACCATGGCTGCAGATGTTGCTAATGCAGCAGTCCACTGGAAGAGAAATGTTTCAACCTTACTTTAGAGTACTGGGAAGGGAATATACAATTACAAGTCAAAATTAATTTCCTTGATGATTTTATACCAGTAGACCCACAAATAAATTTGAAAGCATTCCATCATTTCATATTTCTGAGAGCCTGAGGGAACTTTAAATTCAATGGTTTACTTGGAGAAACAACCAAGCATGCCTTTACACATATCCTATTCAAGTCAGAAGCCCAAGATAGAAAGCTTTTGATAAGTCTTTGTTTTCCTAAACGTTGTCCAGTGAAGGCATCATCAGCATAATACTGCGTTTCCTTTCTAAAATGAGTTGATATTATCCATACAGGAATCTCACTTCCTTCATACAACAGTAACTCACAATATATTTGCATTTTACCTAAAGAAACTCTTTACCAAGTCCTTTTCCTTGGTTATCATTTTCAAATACACAAGAAAATGTTTTTTTTGTTTGTTTGTTTTTGTTTTTGTTTTTTTTCTCAGTCTTTGAGTAAAGCACTTCATTTTTGTCTGATTCCTTCATGAGATCTTTGAACAATACAGACTCTTCTTATGCTGCTATTTTATATATATATATATACATAAAAAATTGTTTTACCAGTTGATATGTCATCTATTTTAAGAAGGCTAAAGTGAAATGAGTTTTTAACTTTTTCACTTTGTGATGATTTCTTAATTTAATAAGGTTACAAATACACTGCAATGAAGTAACAAATTTATAGATGTGACTCACCAGAAGTGTTCTCATGAGTACCCTGTGTTGACAAGAATACTGTGAGAGAATTGCATTTCCAAGCACAGCCTGAAAACAAAGTAGGCATTCAACTGCTATGAGCA